AACCAATATTCAAGCTTGTCTGATTATGAATTTTTTCAATATATAGATTATACATACAATGGGCAAGAAAAGACTACAGAGCACATAAAGACTAAAATGCCTGCATTTCAAAAGTGGAGAAATCATGAACCTATGCATCCAGGAGAACTACTCTCCCTTTTTAAAATTTTATTTCACTGGGAAATTCTTACAGCTAGTTTACAATCATAGGTTAACAGCCTACTTATACAGAAGACACATCCCACTACAGAGCTACACTCTATGCAACTGTTTTTTCCCCCTCATAAACAACCTGAGTTCAAATTGAATTCTAGCTTTCACAATCACAAGGGTGCGTCACCCAGCACAGAAGTTTGAGTCACAAAACATAATTACCACAATAAAACACAGTGTTCAAGTATCTCAGCAGATCGCCCTGCCGCACAAAGAGCAAATTAAATTAACTACACAAACTAAAAACTATACAGCCCGCCATCAACAGTTGTGCATTATAAAAAGGTAGTTTTTTTTCTTTTGAGTCAGGAACAGGTAGATTTTTAAAAATATATACAAGCTAGCACACACAGCCATCAGCGCTAATGTCCCCCCCCCTTTGTAATTATAGAAAATGTAAAGCTTACAATACCTCCTCCATCAAAGCGCCAGACCTAGAAGCCAGCCCGAGCAGGGTTTGCCAGGGGGGAGATGAGGCCTGGGGTTTAGAGCTGCTTTGTGTGGGGTGGTGGAGGTGGAGTATGGTGAGAGAAAGAAGGGGACAGGCAGTCCTTTCTCTTTCTCCCTAGCTTGCTCTCTTTTATAAATGAACCCAAATGGAATCACTCGTCTTTTGCTCTGTCCTTGTTGATTTTCTTCATTTTCATCCTGCGGTTCTGGAACCAGATCTTGACCTGCCTCTCCGTGAGGTTGAGCAGCCGTGCCACCTCGTACCTGCGGTCCCTGGTGAGGTACATGTTGAACAGAAACTCTTTCTCCAGTTCCAGCGTCTGGTGTTTGGTGTAGGGGCAGCGCTTCTTCCGCGTGGAGCGTGCATGGAGCCAGTTGGCCGCTGGATTATCTGCAGGGAGAGAGACACTAGGTTTAGGAGGAGGAGAAGCACCCTAGCTGGGTCCAGGGGAGCCTCCTGGGGCCTCTGATCAAAGTGCAGCTTGCCGTTCAATTGGTTGGGGAACGCTGCCCAGCCTGCGACACAATGGGACCCTGGCAGACAGACTCACAGACGGTCACTTACAATTGCACGCAGTAAAACCTCGGCCCTCCTCCCCTCCGCTGCCCTTTCTCCTCCTCTGTCTGTCCCTCCTGTCCTTTCTCCCACTCTTTGCGCACTGAGGGGAGAATGAAGCGGGTAAACAGGTCTCCTTTGTGGCACGCAGAGAGAAACCCCGCTGCCCTGTGTTAGAGGAGCAAGATTAATACTTCGTTTCTCTCCGTGTCTTCCCTTCTGCAGCCTTCCCTCCACCCTCGCTACTCCTAATTTGACCTTCCTGGAGGCCGTGGGAGCTAAGCGGGCCTGCAGGGTGCCCTCAGTTCTTTGATCAGGTCTCCAGTGTATTTGAATAATCTGGCAAAGGGATCCTCGTGGCCCGCTCGCCCGCAGCCTCAATTTGGGCAGGATTTACGCCACCGGCTGAAGGCGAGAAGTCGAGGGAATCGGCGTCTCCCCCAGTGTCCCGGGTCGGTTGCCCCGGCCGGCCAGCGCTGCAGCCGCGGCTCGCAAGCAATCTAGCCGCACAAAAGACTCCGTTGTGCTGCTTTCGAAGAACGGCCCGAAGTATCTCTGTTCTAAGCCTGGGCAGCCAAGGAGAGGGGCGGCCAGTCTGGGCTCCGTCCGAGGCGCCCGCCCCGCCCCCTCTGGCTGCAGAGGCCTCCTCCCCTTCCCCCGGTCCTGCAGGCTTGTTCGTCACAGTTCTCTGGATTTGGGGCCCTATCTGAAGTGTTCCAAACACCAATTACTGGCTCTCGGCCCCAGCTTGGGAGGCTCCCAGCGAAGACAAGGCAGGCTCCAGAGAAAGCTGGTGGGCCGGCAGATCCCGGTGGCCGGCGTGGAGGCGGCGGCTGGTTTGGAAGGAGAAGACACTTACTGGGATCGATGGGGGGCTTGTCTCCGCTGCTGTCATTCTCAGCATTGTTTTCGGAAAAGGCGCCTTCGTTGGGTTGTTTTTCTCTATCAACTGAAGGAGAACCACAAGCATAGTCAGTCAGGGACAAAGTGTGAGTGTCAAGCGTGGGACAGTCACCCCTTCTGGCCGACAGCGGTTCAGGTTTAATGCCATAAGGCCGGCTGGAGGGCAAGCCCGCGAAGGAGAGCGCGCCTGGCGCGGGCTCCAGCCAGGAGCGCATGTACCTGCCGTCTGGCGCCGCCGCCGCCACGGGCGCCTGGGGGTGCACGTAGGGGTGGTGGTGATGGTGGTGATACACCGCGGCGGGCACGGCGTTGGCGCCCGCCGCGTGCACCGGGTTCCAGGAGGCGCCGAACACCGCCGCCTTGGACTGGAAGCTGCAGGGGCTGAAGTCGGGGTGCTCGGCCAGCGCCGCAGCCTGCCGAGGAGGCTGGCCCAGGGCCCCGGGTGCGTAGCGGCCGGCGCCCAGCTCGTCGGCGGCGTCCGCGCCCAGCAGGAACGAGTCCACATAGTAGTTGCCCAAGGTCCCGGTGGTGGCCATTGCCGTGCCCCGCGCGTGGCCGGCCCGGCCCGACCCGCGGAAATTATGAAACTGCAGATTTCATGTAACAACTTGGTGGCACCGGGGCGGGGGAAGTACAGTCACCTAATAAGTTGCCGGCGCCCGCGCCCCCATTGGCCGCGCGCGTCACGTGCCCGCCCGGCAGAACAATAACGCGTAAATCACTCCGCACGCTATTAATGGCCCGGTGTTTTGCAGTCATAATTTTTATAGCAAAAGCCATATGTTTTTATGCAAAGGGATCGCGCCGTTCCACGATCGGGTTTGTTTTAATTGTGGCCAACGAAGATTAAAAGATCAAATTTGGCTTTGCCTCTGGACGCTCCCCCCACCCACCCACTTCTTAAGCGGACTATTTTATATCACAATTAATCACGCCATCAGGAAGGCGCGGGTCCCGCGTGTGAGTGTGGCCGGCGGAGCCCCTCACATAAAATTAGACAATAATTGAAGCCATAAAAAAGCAGCCAAATCGCATTCTCGCTCTACTGTATTTAAATCTATATTTATGATATTTCATAAGGAGTTATTGTTTCAGAAGCCACGCAGGCTGGTTGGAAGTCGGGAACGACCAACAGATTCGTTTGCCTTTGCCATGGCTTCCAGCTGTAAAAATTTATGAGGACTTGGAAAGGTTAAATTAGACTGTTGTGTTTGGTTGGCGAGCTCCCTGTAAATAATCCCTGTGGTCCTCTGGAGATGCACCGTTTCCCCATTCTGCCGGCCGCAAAAAGTCAAATTCAACGCAGTATGCGTCTCCAAGAGCAGCCACCGTCGCTGCCAGAGAGCGGGGTGGACTGGCCACTGAGGGGGTCCAGCCTCGTGTGGACCCCACAGCCTGCGATGCTGGTGAGCCAGCGCCCAGACACCCCTGAAGGTTGCCCTTGTTTCTCAAGTGGGGAACGCGGAGGACCTGGGAGGGAGAGAACAAGCAGCTACCCTCACCGGGAAGGATTTGAGGGTCTGGTTGTGCCACATGCTGGGTCCTGGCCCACAACCTCCGCCAGGCGCCAGGCGTATGGTGTTCCTACTCAGCTGGGATTTACCATCCCCAGGCAGAGGCGGCTTAGCAACCCGGCCCTGTAATGCATCCTTGAAAGCCCTAATGCTGAAGTCTGCAACCCTTCTCACGCTGTTGGAACCCAAGCTGGGAAAAAGAAAAAGCAGGCAGCATCAATGGAAGGCGAATTCTGCTTGCTAAAAGGCAGCTCCCGCAGAGGGGAGCATGCGGGTCCAGCGGCTGGGCAGCCCGCACTGGAGCTGCCTGTCCAGGGCCCAGGTGAGCCCTTCGGGGATCCCTCCATCACTGCTCACCCAGGGACTCGTCTTGGTTATCCAGGGAATCAAGCAACTCGGTGGAGTTTTACAAGGCCCAAAGCAAAGCAGCTGCAGCTCAAGTCCAGGGCTAGAAATTAAAACGGGGAGGGGCAGGGGCATTGACTTTAATCCCATGCTTTGGCCTGGCCAAATTGGGAAGGTTATTTCTCACCCCTTACAGTCTTTGGGGGTGAGACCAAATGAAAAGACTGCAACCACTTTTGTTAATTGGAAGGGGGGAAATCCACCCCATTTCTGAAAGAAAGCCACGGTCCTAGAAACGGGGTAATTAAATTCACGTGTGAATACTGTGCCTGCAGGAGTGTGTTTCTCATTAGTCCACTTTCCTGGCTGCAAGGCCAGCGGCCTCAGTCATTTCCAGCTCTCTCCCCTTCCTTTTGCCTTCATTTTCACCAGTAGTTCAAATAATTCCTCCTTCCAAACACCCTTATTCTGAGCAGAGTCAGGGACCCCTAAACGTTAGTCTCTATTCTGAGAGAGGCCGAAAAGCTACTCAAATACCAAATACCACCCGGGAGCCCCTTCCTCCACCGGAGCTCCAAGCGGCTGCCACAGTGAACTCCGACGTGGCCTGTCTCAGCTGCCTCAGCCTCCCCACACCCCTAGTAATTTTCCTTCCTGGTAAATTCCTCATCATCATCCTCACCCTCATGGCAGCCCTAGGTGTCCAGCAGTCCACAGGGGACCGAGATTTCCATTTAAAAATAAACCTTTGAAGAAAATTTTGCTCCTAATTGTAATTGTCTGTAAGCAGCAGGCCGAGCATGCCTGGCTGCTTGTTCCACTTTGTACCCAGAGAAGACACAGCTTATTTTTAGTATTTTTAAAAAGCAAAGGCTGTCGTTAGTCCGCGAATAAAATAGGAATATTAAATAATTAACAGGCATCGAATGTTAACCAGCTATTACCGGTACTGAGAAGCAGGAAAACTTCACTAATCCAAATATTGTCCCTCTGGAACCAAGAGATTTGGAGTCAGAATATTTAGACTTTTGTGCCTTTTATTTTGAAAGTGAAAGGGATTGCACATGCACAAAGAAATAATAAATGGATGTAATTACAAACCACCCCTTCTCCACTGAGAGTTTCCCCAAAACTTTGATCTCTGAAATAAACTTAATACTCTGGTCTGGAAAATGCCAGAGAGGAATCAGGGAAGCGGGTGTCCCGGACTTTCAGATAACAGGTTGGCAGACTGAGCAACAAAAACAATTCCCAGCCCCCAGCCTGAGCTGGGAAGGGAAGCACAGCGCTGCGGCCAAGGGTCTGAAGGCAAGTCTATGTGTATGTTGGGGGAAGGGACAGTTTGTTTTCCGTAGTTAAGAATAATAGGCTGGCTCCCATCAGTAGATTGCAACTTAGAACAAGGGCTCAAGTTTGCATCCCAATGACTCACGAATTTTGAGTTTCCTTCACCTATTTGAAATACGGGCTCTTGGGTTCTTTTCTGCAGCACAGAGCTGTACAAGGTGGCTATATTCAACACACTGGAACCTGACGCCACTGCCAAGCACGCAGTCAAGCTTTGCCTTAGCAAGTCTCCTTCACTGAGATCAAAACCCGAGTTAGGACTGGCAGGCCTGGAGAAGCATGCAAGGAGCTTCCGGGCAAGTGGAGCTCCCTGAGTAGCCACGCTCTCCACGGAGCCCGGCTGGGCCTCAGCGCTCATTTCCAGAATGCTGACAAAGGTCTCTCTGCCCTTTGGTGTGGGCATACAAAGACGCCGCGGGTGCCCCCTAATCGGGTCTCCCAGGCAGCCGCAGGCGACCCGCGGAAGAAGAACGCAAGGCCGCCGCCATCCGGTCGTGATCATAACCGAGGCCTTGTCGGCCCAGAGGCACACCAGGCCAAACCCCACGGTCCTGGACAGTCGCCCCACGCAGGCCCTTCCTCGGCAGACTCGGACTTTCAGTTGAGCGCGAAGAGAAAAATGGGACCGTCAGACTTTCCCTTTGCTGGCCTCCTCCCCTTCGGACAGGATGATTTGGAAAGGGGAGAAGGCGATCTAGAAAGAGAACCGGGACAGAGACAGATGAAAGAAGAAGAAAACAAAGAAGGAAGGAAGGGGTAAAGAAAGAACAAATAAAAGAAAAAGGAGGGCGGAAGAAAAGGGACCGAGGACACACTGGGAGCAGAGGGCCTGCTTGCGGAGACGACAAGGCCATGATCCCAGTCCCGGACACCGTGCTCCTCCTGTCTCGGCCTGGGTCTCCACAGGCAAAGGAATCTCTCAACTCACACCCCAGATCGGGGCGTGTGTCTGTTGCAGCCTCGCAGGAGAGAGGCGCGGAGCGGGCCGGGCGCAGGGCTACAGTAGGGACGCTCCGGATGGGCGCCAGCGCCCCTGACCTTGAATGGCCCGAGGCCCAGAATTCTTACCACGCCCCCGGCGTCCGCGGAGGAGCGGTTAACCTGACCGTACCTGCTCCGGCCGGGGCGGGGGGAGGGGGCCGGCGGCTGGCACGCTGCTGGGGCGGACCGAGGTTCCTGCGCAGGAGAGCCGAGGTTGCCCCGCGGGCCTGGCATCACCCGGGCCTGCATGCCCCGCCCGGCCGGGCCCGGCCCCGCGCGCGCAGGTACCTGGAGACGATTTCAACTGAAGTAATGAAGGCAGTGTCGTGCTGTCGAGAGAAAGGTGGATCCCAACAACAGGAAACTACCTAAATCACCGACCAGTTCTGGTGCTGCCCGCGCGGGGCCGCCTCGCCCGCCGCCGCCGCCGCCGCCGCCGCCGCCGCCGCCACGGTCGCCGCCAAGGAGAGACCCCGGAGACCGCGCCGCCCAGCACCGCCGCTGCCACCGAGCGCCCTGGGCCTCCGCGAACCGGGCAGGAAGGGGGAAGCCACGGGCCCAGGAGGTGAGCCCGGGAGCGCGGGGGACAGCAGGCAGGGCCGGGGTAGGGGAGGCAGAGGCGGGAGAGAGAAGGAAGGGGAAGCCGGCGAGAAGAGGGCAGAGGAGCAGCGCCCCGGTCCCCGAGCCCGCAGCCGCCATCCACCGAACCGCGCAGCGACTCCGCAGCGCCGAGGCCGTCGCCCAGCCGGGTCCTCGGTCTGGCGCCCGCGCTCGCTCCCCGCGGCCGCTCGCTCCCCCTCCCTCCCTCCTAGACGCCCGCCCGCGGAGGCGCGCGCTCCCGCGCCCCCTCCCCCGAGCGGCGCGCCCCCACCTCCGCAGAGCAGGAAACGCGTGGCCCCGCCGGGGGCCGCCAGGTGGGGGAGGCCGTGCTGGGGGAGGGGGCGGCCCCGGCGGATCCCGGCCCCCCGGCCCGGTCCACCTAACCGCTGCCGAAGGCACTAGTGATGCGCTCTGGGCCTGGCCTGCTCCTGGGACTTAAGTCATCTGGGAGTTGGGCACCCGCAAAATAACTGGCCTCTGAGAGCCTCTCTGGGGCTTCAGAAAGAAATCCTGTTTAGCTTCCTCTATCTGTGCAGCTCCCCTCTCAACTGAAACCACTAGTCCAAGACAGCCACAATCCAGATATACTAGCAAGTCATAAAACTGAACAAAAGCCGACAAACCTTAGGGCACCAGGGCTATAGGGCCCAGACAAATTACGACCGTCTAGGTAATATTTAAATAGATGCCTAAAGTAATTGCAGGGGGCTCAGGCTAGTACTCCTGTTGTAAAAGTGGTGGACGGGATACAGTGGAAGGTGAAGATAAGAAGTCAAAAAAGAGGTAAAATTAAAAAGCTTCATTCCACAGCTTTTATTCTATAAGAACATAAACATCGTCTTTTTTCCACGCACAGCAGCAATACAATATTAATTTATTCTGATTTAAGATTAGAATAGAGCTAGCACTAACATTTATAATAATGATAGAATGCATTTGCTTAAAACAAGATTGGCAATTTTTCATAATAATAGACATTTATACAGATTTGTATTTATAGTTTTTTCTTTTTCTGCACCTACAGGTTTGACCCTTTTATGCATGTTACTTCACAGTATAAAGGAAATCCAAACAATGTCTCCCTTCTCTAGTTTATTCGTTTGCCCCAGCCATCCTAGGCTTCCATGAATTTCAGAAAGCCCCCCCAAAAAAGTGAATAAAAAAAAACTCCACAAGATAGGGAGAATTGTGATGTGCTTTTCGAGTGTTACCAGTGGTAACGATTTTAATGACAAAAATTCCACTAATTCCACATTTATAAACAAAACTACATTATTTATCAACAGCCAGAAGGATACGGAAATTCAGAGGTAAATGAAACATTTCAGTCAGGCAATGCAAGACCTTACAAAACTGGAAGAGAAGTTTCCTTCTCTTGGTCACTTTTTTCTTATAAAGCTAGGATATCTTACAGAGGAAGGAAAAATTAATCTTTCTGACTCTCTTGCTTTTTCAATCAGCCAAAGTCAAGCCCCTAGTGCCAACCTGCATATCCATGCCTGCATGCCTTTCTCTTGGCCAAGGAAGAAAGGAAGAAAGAAAAAAAGAAACCCAGGGGCCTGCATCCCCTGATTAAACACAGCCCAGCACTCCACGCAGGCATGCCCGGTGGTGGCTCCTTGCACCATTGACCTCAGGCCAGACACCTCTGCGCCGACAATGAGATCTCGGCCTTCCCGCTTAGGTTTGCCCAGGACCAGGCAGGAAACCAGCTCTGTAGAAGAGGACAGGGGCCATTTCAAGCAGTGGGACCTGGAGACAGCAAACCCAATCCATTCAGGACTTGACACTTAGGACAATATCTACCTCTATAGAATTTAGCGCGATATGGCTTTTTCCCCCAGAAAACAAGTAAACCAGCACCAAGCAAACAGACAAAGAAACAAAAAATCAGAACAAACCATCCCTGCACAGATGTAACTGCCTGGAAGATGGCGAGTGTGGGAGAGAGGACTAGGGCTCCGGCACAGGTGCGAGTTCGGGGCAGAGGCTGAAGACAGAGGGAGGGGACCGGCGTTCTGGAGGCAGAACAAAACAGCGTCGCCTGCAGCTTCATCAGGAAAAATTAAAGTTGGCTGTGAGCTCTCGGATCCGGTTTTCTCGGTTCATTTTCTTCAGTTTCATCCTGCGGTTCTGAAACCAGATTTTCACTTGTCTGTCCGTGAGGTGGACGCTGCGACTGATCTCTAGGCGCCGCTCTCGAGTAAGGTACATGTTGAACAGAAACTCCTTCTCCAGCTCCAGCGTCTGGTGCTTCGTGTAGGGGCAGCGCTTCTTCCGGCCGCTCTTTGCCGTGAGCCAGTTGGCTGCGTTTTCGCCTTTGGAATTGCCTGGCGTTTAAGAGAATATGGAGGGGAAGGTTAAGTCCAGGCCATGCGGGCTGCACGTGGAGTGAATTCGGGTTGTCTTTCCCGTAAGAGGCATGGCCCAAGTCACACACAGAAAGGGTTGTGCCCTCCTTTGGAGAACAAGCCATTCTTCCAAAACTCGTGGCAAAATTGCAAAATTGAGTGGGCCTTCAGTCTACACCCCCCTCCTAATTTAATTTTTTTCTCCATTTTCCCTCCCTTAAACACCTGTTTTATCACAAAGCTGCAGGGATGCTTATAGAATGAAAGGCCTGGCAAGGCAGGCTGTACATCTTGAACTTAACGCCTTTCTTTGCATCTTGCCCTATGGCACGCGAGGACTTCCTGCAGCCCCTAGACTGGGGGATGAGGGGTGCTTACTTGGATGGGGGGCCAGAAACTCAGCTGCCTCATTCCAGTCCCCTCATTACCCTAGACCTGATGAGGCAAAGAAGGGCTCTCCGGGAATGCATGAAAAACTGATTCTGAGTTCAGGGAACCTTCCGAGCATCTCTCCAAGAGCCAGGGGTGTGCAGCTGGGCGATTCTGAGTTCCAGGGAAAACGGAATGGCCCCTCTCTGGCTTTCAGTACAGGGCCCCTGGCGTCCGAGCAGGATTTGCTTTTTCTTCTCGCAACAAGGGTTCCCGCCCCTCCAGCAACTTTGAAAAAGACATGGGGGATCGTAAACTCGAACTTCGCCGGTTAATGGGCTTATTTATTGGCGCTGGCGGCTGCTTATTTTGGATGCCTTACAAACATCCGTGCTATCTGCGGGGCGAGCCACTTTTCCTCCCTCCCCCTCCCCCCGCGTGGGCCGCGCCGTGCAGGCTGGGCCCGGACCATGGCTTGGGGTGCTCCGTGCCACCAGGAAGAGCATGCACAAGAGGGGGGCTGCTCGCTGGTGTCGTCTCCTCCAGTCAGGGTGAGCTGGGGCCAGCGCTGAGGACGTCTTGGTGTGCGGCGCTAAGCCGGACATGAATTTTTACTGCGTCCCCACGCCCAAATATTAAAAAGCAAGTTCACAAGGTCAGCCTGCCTGCAGCTTGGGCCAAGGCCGGCGGCTGCTGCGCGGGCTCCTGGTTCTCCACTCCTTCCTTTGCTTGAGTCTGCCTGCGTGTGCCCTCCTTACTGAGCCCTCTGGCGCGTCCCGCTTACCCAGGGAGTCCTTCTCCGGCGAGGCTTTGCTGCTCTCGGAAGGGGCCGGGGAGAGCTCCTCCGCCGCCGAGGATGACGCGTGCGCCTCCTCGTCGCCCTGCGAGCCCCCGCCGCCGCAGACCAGCCTGGGGGGCGGCGGGGAATCGAGGGCTCGCTCCTTCCGAGCCGCCTCGGCCGAGCCGGAGGCGAGAGCAGGCGGCGGGTCGAAGCCGCGCCCGGGGGGCTGCGCCGGGAAGGGGCCGGCGCCGAGCTGCTGCGCGCCGCCGCCGCCGCCGCCGCCGCCGCTGCCGTAGCCCTTGGCCGTGCCGTAGGCCTGGGAGAGGCGGAAGTAGCCGGGCACCGGCACCCCGCCGGAGGGGCCCAGCGCGCAGCCGTCGGGCGGCGGGCCCCGCGGGAAGGAGGCCAGGTCTGCGGCCGCGGCCGAGCCTTTGGGGCATTTGTCCGCCGTGTCGTAGAGGCAGTAGGAGCTCTCTTCTTTGATGTTCTGCGCGAAGGAGCACGAGGTGGCCGGTGGCGGGGGCTGGGGTGGCTGCGGCGGGGGCGGCGGCGGCTGCTGGGGCTGCTGGGGCTGCGGCGGCCCCTCGGGCGGCTCCATCCGGCAGGAGCGGGGCGCGTCCAGCCACAGGTCTAAGGGCGCGGGCGCGTAGCCGTGCGCCCCCGGCCCCAGGCCCCCGCCGCCGCCCCCGCCGCCCGGCGACGCCGCCTCATTGCGCTTGCCGCCCAGTGCGGGGAAGAGCCCGCAGCTCTGCAGCCCGTAAGGCAGGTCGGCGGAGGGCGGCAGGTAGACCCCGCCGTGAGCGTAGTAGCCGCCGCCGCCGCCCCCCGCGCCACCGCCGCCGCCACCGCCACCCGCCTCGCCTCTGCCCGAGCTGATGAGCGAGTCGACCAAAAAAGAGTTCGCGGCGGGGCTCTCGGAGCATGACATTGTTGTGGGATAATTTGGCGAAGGGAGCAGATAGCCCTTTCTGGCTGACATTTCTTGTGCAAAACATGCTGAATACGATTAGCAATCCCCCCGCACCGCGGCGGGCGCCCACAGCCAATCCCGAGCCAGAGTTGCCGCGCGACCACTCCCAGTTTGGTTTCGTAGGCGCGGGGCCGCTCTCTGAGGGCGCCCTCGGAGCCCGCGATTGATATAAATATGTAATCTGTATTGATGGAGCAGGAGACGCACGCGTGACACCTTGGCCCGAAGGTCTGGAGCTATGGGGGCTGCTCCGTAGTGGTTGATGGGGGGGCCCGGTCCTTGGGCCGGCCCCGCCCCTACTCTGAGGTGAGCCCGCTGCGACTGTCTGTTGGAAGCACCCTTGGGCCCCTCGCCCGTTAACAAGTGGGGTGTTTATGGTGTGCACCCCGGTCTGCAACGGTGCCCGCCATCCTTGTTGCGGAAGTGGTCTTCATCCTGACTCTCCTTGGCCACTTAAAGGAGCCCTGTCGGGGGTCTCACGTTCCTCCTCCGATTCAGCTCTGGATCTGGAGCTGGCCCCATTTCTAAAATCTGGCTCCCCAAAGTGGCAGACATGGTCTTAAAGCTAGGAGGACCCTCGGAGTTTCTACAACCCAAAAGGAACTGGTAGCTGGCTACTGCCAGACTTTCACATTTCACACAAAATAGTCTCCAAAATGAAATGGCTTATCCCTGGCCCCTTGGGGCCTGACATTAGCCTATTCCATTGTGAGTCCAATCAGGTTTTCTCCTCCAGTTTGCCCACCTGCCTCACCTGTCTCTATACCGCCTATGCAGGAACCTTGGTGGGTAGGCACTGATAAAGGAAGAATCAGAAACCTTGTGTGAAAGACCTTAAACTGGAGTCCAAAGCCAGGTTCAGATGCTACTCCCCCAAACACACACACACACACATACACACCCCACAGAGAAGTCCCACACCCCTAAAGAAACCCCACACTCAAGTCTTTTAAGGGAAGTGAATCATTGGCCCTAGGGTCAATGGCTTCCAGAATGGGGAGAATTAGAGAAGAAAACTTGGAGGAAGGTATCCAGCAGGCACCGCTGCCACACTGCTCTCCCCTCTCTTTTTAGCCTTGGCATTTCTGTATTACCAGAGGCTATGAAAAAATCCAGTGTCATACACTCCTGCCTTGGTGTCCCCACCCCTTTCCCCCCTCCTTCCATATCCTCTGGTGGGGCAGTCCTTGCTTGAAGGGTGTGTGCATTTTAACAAGGCCCTGGTGAGGAAATCCACTCCCTGGGAAGCTGAGCTAGGCTTGTGGTCCTGTTGTAAGAGTAATCAGAAGCCAGTTCTTTTGCTCAGCAGACACCAAGTCCTTCTCTTAGCCAAATGGAAATGGTCACCCTGGGGCGATAGCCCTCAAGTATGGGACTTGTACAAGGCTCAGGAAATTCGACTTTTTCAGGATCCTGTAGAGCCCAGGAAGTTGATGTCTTGCCCCTGACCTGTGGGCTATGGTTCTCCACAGTGTGCCAGGCCTGCCTGCCCAGCAAGCTCTGGTTGGAGTTGGAGCTGCTGACCACTAGATCTCAGAAAATAGACCACTCAGACCTCTGCCTGTGGCAGGGAAAGACTCTCATATCCAGGTGGTTGTGTTCTGATCCCTCCCAGGATGAACTCAACCAGAAGAGGAAAGCATCCTGAGAGGACCCTGAGAGCACAGGAGATAGCAATCTAGGTGAAGCCCAGGCTCTCTGGTTTCTGACATTCAAGCAGTTGCGGTTGAGGCTGCTTGGGTGGTGGCCAGGTTCAGCACCCGAGGCCAAGCTTTTCCTAGCTCAGTGCTTCAGCCACTTCAGCCCGGTGCCCGGTGACTTGGCTGCTGCAGACTGAATATCAGAGTGCATAAAGGGGATGGAGCAAGAAAGAGCTGAAGAACAGGAGAGAAATACAGAGGCTGAAGAGAGAGGAGCCAAGAAAGACAGAGAAAATAGAAGAGAGCCAGTTTCTCTCCATCCTCAGAGTCTTCAAGCTAAAGTGGCAGTTTAGAGGAATCAAGACTCCCGGTCTGCATGGGCAACATCACTAACTCATGGCTCTTTGAGTTGTCCTGTGCACAAGGCTAAGGCATATACACGCTAGCCCTAAGCGCCCAAGGAAATGGAGCACTGAAAAGCTGCAGAGCGCTACCACATAGGGCCATACCTTTTGCATCAGAGATCTGCCTGGTCTCCATTCGCACCAGGGAATGAAACTGGCTGGGCCTGAAGTGTTCAGCAGTGCCATCTGGAATGCCACAAAGCTGAGGAGAGCCTGAGAAAGGCACTGTGCTCCTCCGCCCTGTCCAGACTACTCAGAAAAGCTCTGGTCAATGAGGAAGTAGGTCCTAAGAAAATGGGAAGTGGGTACCTTGAGGGAAAGAAGTCCCAGCACACCACTGGACCAGCATTCCGACCTACAGCTTTGCCTGTTGGGAATGCAGAAAGCAATTTTCCAGGTTGAAGTCTGGGAAGGGCCCATGGCCATTGGAAAGTATGAGATGGTGGAAGCTACAAAAATAAAATGAAAGACATGATGTAAACTTGTCTTTTTAAAACCTTTGAGAGTACTGGGGACTCTTCAGGAAAATCTAAGGCAAGTTCTGACTTATTCTGTGAAATATGCATATCTGTACATTCCCACAATTCAACCCATCATTTTCCAGGAGTTCACACATCCCTCAAAGCCTTCTCTTTGAACTCTTCAGAACATCTAGGACTCTCCTGGGACTCAAGAACCCTGCCAGTTTGGCTGATAAGACAAGCCGGCTACCCTGACACAGGCATCTTCAGGCCCACTCTGGCCAGGGTCTTGTAGGACAGCCAAATGGACTTCTCCTTTGGCTGGGATCCAGGAGTCTGCACGTGCCATGCAAGGTTACAAGAATCAGCTTGGTACAAAAGGCAATCCCTGCTAAAGAGCAGAGGAGCCAGAAGGCCTGATACCAGCATCACAGCCCTGGCATTGGCACTTGGGTCTTCAATGACTTTTGTAGAAGGCCAGATATATTTTTCTAGTATGACTCTATTGCTCTTTGCAATAAAGCAAAAGAATGTTGAATCTGGGCTCTTTCTTGTTTTAAAAAACATATAGGCTTCTCTAACTCAGGACTTGAGAGCCTTATTTCCTGGGTAGGACTGGCCGGCAGCTGGTTCAGACTGGAGCCTTCGATGCAGCAGAAGCAGAAGCTCAAGTTAAACAGTCTCCCAGCGGTCTCAGTCAGTCTGGAGCCCCCAGAATCCCCGACTGGCCCCAAGGCTCCTGTGCCTGCCTAGACTATAAAAAGGAGGTGTTAGCCTCCTCAATAAAATAGCCCATTTATTGATCGCCTTGGCTTTCCTGAGGTTTCCAAGCCCTGAGACATTAAGAAAAGCAATTCAGCTGCAGCGTCGGTAGGCTTCTGTCCACTCGCCCCGCTCTCTGCTCTCTCGCTCTCTCCTCTAGCCGTTTGCCTTCTTTCCCTTTCACCCTTCCTTCCAGCTGCTAAATTCTTTTCTCTCACTCAGATTGCCTTTCACCCAAAACCTTAGGTGCCTGCAGGCCTCAGCCAGGCCTCCGCGAGTGTATAGCTGCCAGAGCCTGTGTTTCAGTTAGGAGGAAATTCTGCCCTTTCTACCTGATTTTGATAACACCCAGTCCCTCCACGGAGCCGAAGTAACTGCCAGGCCTACAGAACAAGCAGACCCTGTGGGGAATATTAGCCTGCAGTTCACTACAAGCAAATTTTTTCTTTCAGTAGGCGCTTACAAATGATGGGAAATAAAATGTTACTATGGAAAACAAGTTGTGCTTTTTTTTTTTTTAAGAAAAAAAAAACTGGGTTCTGAGATTGAGATAGCCTGTAAGCGGTATATACTGGTGGTCATTCTCAAAGCTTTCCAGGCTCCAGATTATCCAGCAGACTGTGTGGGGTTGGACGGTGGCCCCATACAGGAAAAATCAATGTACTTCCTCATATCCGGCATTAACAAAAATTCAGGGCTTTCCGATTTAGGAATTTACACATAATCAGAAAGATTTTCCGTAAGTTATGAGGTTCTTTTCCTGTTGAGAAAGTCGACAGTTCCCCAGGACAGTAGTTGTGTCTGCTCCTAACTGATCAGGTGCAATCTATTCTTAACAAAGCTTTTAACTTTTTTCTGAATCCAATAAGCAAGCTAAGCGCACTGCCTTTAAGGGAGGGAATGTTGGGCCTTTGCAAATACCTTTTGAATTGTAAAATTCTTCATTTTGTCCTTAATAAACAGCCTCTGGCCTTGAAGCCGAGGGTACTCTGGGATTGCAGGGAGCAGCTCACAGTGCGGGCAGGCATGCCTTCTCACCGCTGCCTTTCACTGGCATAGTTCGGGAGCCCTTGCTCAACAAAGACTAGTGTTTCTCTTAAGCAGAGTTTACACATGTGTGCATAAAAACAGCACCTTCTTTCTTTGATTCTCCCTTACCGGTGTGCCGTATATTTGGGAAAAGAAAATAGCTAACTCAAGAAACTAATGAAAAGACCTTGAAATTAAAAAACAATGGGAGACAATTTTAATCGGACTCCCAAATTGTTAGCATTTTGATCATTTAAAACTTAAAAAAAAAATACAGCGCTGAAGAAATGACGGCTTGATCGCACTATATCCCTCCTCCTCCTTTTCGAAAATGTAGACATAGGAACCAATGCAATTTCGTGTGTCTGAAAAATACGCAAACGATGTCACTCTCCCTTCTAGGAAACTGCTGCAAAACGCTAGCCAGGTTTGTAACGGCACGTTCCACATATGCAATACAGAGACTTCTCTAGTAGCCTACAAAGTCAAATATGACTTCTCCGAATTTGCGGGGTGGGGTGGGGGAAGCAAAGGTTTCTCCTAGGCTTCTAAGCAGACCTAGAGACACACCTAGCAGGAAACCAGCGAGCTCCCGCTGCATGCCCCGGGGAAGGAGCCCGCGCTGCTCCAGCGGGCCACGCGTGCCGACCGCCCCATTGTTTTGAGTAGAAACTTTGTTTTTTCTTCTAGTCCTGCCACTTCTCTTTTTCCCTCACCCTCTCCTCACTCCTCCTATCCCAGCACAGCTGGAACGCTGTTGCCTGGGTGCCTCCATCCACAGATCAGTCTGTTTCCAATATTTCCACACAGTCCAGCGAACGATCGCCTAGAGTGAAACGCCAGCACGAGCAGCTAAAACCCACAACTTTCGCCCCAGGCCTCCTCCTGCTTTCCAACCTTAGGGAAAGATGGGGGGGGGGCGATCTCCTACCGCGTCACCCCCACAAGCCG